CTGTTGTTACTGCAGGTATTTTAATTTTAATTAAACCTATTAAAAAAAAGGGTTATTTTACACTACATAAAACTTTAAATTCTATAAAGACAACTGTAGTTTGGAAATTGTTCGGTCTAACCATTCGAAGAACTCTATTTTTTTTTAACCATTAAAACACACACACAAAAAAAAAAAAAACAACTTTAACTGGAAAAATATTCTTCCGATTTTTTTTGGAATTCCTTAACGGAAAAAATGAACTCTCAGTGGTTTTTATGGAATTTGGCCTTTAAATAACAAAATGACAATATCTTTATTATAACTTTTTTGAGAATAATGAACTTTCATTATGATTTATTTTTTATTTTTGTGAATAAAAGTTTGTTAATTGTAATCAAAATAATGCAAAGAATAGAGTTAAAGCTATACCTTGTATTTCCAAACAAATATAAAAACATACACATTCCATGATCCAGCCAAATCTCTTTCGGTTTTATCTTTTTTCAAGTGCTATTTTTTTTTAACCTTTTTCTCATAAACAGATTCCAACCTCTTTTGATTAACAGATGCAGGACAAATTGATGACATCAGCTTTGATATATCTGTATTGGACTCCAATGCATTACCTTTCCTTTTCAAACATGCTCCTGAAGTAGCAAAACACCTCAAAATTGATTCAGATTTTTCATTCAACACCGCTAATCAGTCTTACCGAGAGTCCTGGATGGTAAAACAGTAAAAAAAAAAATTTACTTTTTTTTTTTTTTTCTGTAAGGAAGGTGGAGTTATGGAGTTTGTTCTTTTTGTCACAGGCAATATATCCCCTGTCTGATTTGTTTTCAAGAAGCTTGAAATTCCCTGCTAATAGAGATGAAATCTTGAAGAATTATAGTTATTTTCCTCATATATCAACTACTAAGCAACAAGCTACCTCCATTGATGGGTCCCGCAGAGTTTACTTGGAATTTTCTTTGGGGTATGCTTTCTTTCTTCCATTGGAATGAACAAACAAAAAAAAAAGAGTAAATTACACGAATGGTCCCTATGGTTTGGGGTAATTTGCGCGTTTGGTCCCTAACTTATTTTTTTAAATCGGAAGGTCCCTACTGTTTGTTTTTGTTACGCGTATGGTCCCTGTCTTACCTAAAAAGACTATTTTTCCCTTGATTTATTTATTTATTTAAATAAACACACCCCAAACTCCACCCCTCTCATCTTATCTTACCTACCTCAATATTTTTCTCTATTTAAATAATAGTATTTTTAGGTAAAACAGGGATCAATTGCGTAACAAAAACAAATAGTAGGGACCAAGTGTGTAACAAAAACAAACAATAGGGACCTTCCGAATTAAAAAAATAAGTTAGAGACCAATCGCGCAAATTACCCCAAACCATAGGGACCATTCGTGTAATTTACTCAAAAAAAAAACTGTTTGTTTTGCCTGATGGAATGGAAGTTTTAATATATTAAGTTTTTAATTAAGAATTTTATGAATTATGTTCTAAAAATAAGTAGAAAATATCTTCTTTATTATAAATATTATAATCTTGTTTTCATGTTCAGTTCCTTGAAGGAGGTATGGGTTACAGTCCTCAACATTACAGGCCCAATTTCCAGTTGGTCATTTGCAAACGCTACCCTTCCAGGTAATTTTTGTCCTATTCACATACACAGTCACAGTCACAGTCAGAGTCACACAGTATTTTTGTGCCTTTTTGCAGCTCCCGAAATTGTTAAAGGTGCCCCTCCATCATATATTTGTAGACTTAGTGGTGTAGCCAAGGAAAACTGGACCTTTTGGTTGGAGGTAATTTATCCTTCTATTTATTCAATAACAGCAACACACCTTTATAAAATTTATATAAAATCAGTATTTATTTATTATTTTGTTTATAGACAAATAGTCCAGGAGATATTCGTATTGAAGTTGGTGTTGTAGAACAATACTTGATGGAATCAATGAAGAAATTAAAAGATAGTTTTCCAGAGTGGGTGGATGTCATTGCATTTTCAAGTTTTTTGTCCACGTATATCTTTTAGTTTAGTACCAAACTTACATTTATTTATATTGTGTTGTTTTTAGTTTCAAACTGTGTTTAATATCATTTATTTTATGGTAGCAATATAGGTAGTCACTTTGTTATAGTACTTGAAAATGTGTTGATTTGGTGATACTCGCATCCTATTTATTGTCATTTTAGTGAATAGCTCATTTTTACGTATAAACATAATCTTGTAGCTTAAAATTCTTCATCTTAAATTCGTGAAGATTAGTAACAAATCGATTGTCATCTCTAGTCATCAATTCAACATTTTGACTTCTATGGATGTGAATCATCATTTGGTTGTATATTGGAGGGTATTGCTTTGTTTCGTAACAAATACTTTATGAAACTAATCAACGGCTTAAAGTTAATTATCAGAGTGAAATCAAAGAGAAAAGAACAAGATTATTCATTGTATTGAATCTTGAAAATTAATACAAGTACAAAGCTTTTATACAAACTCAGACTAATTAACCAATTATCTAACAACTAGCTAATACTAGTTAACTAATTGTAGTTAGACTACCTTCTAACAACCCAATATAGCTGCTTCTAACAAACCAAAGTTAACATATTAGATGGATGACATCATAACAAACTTAATGGTCAAACGATTGCAATGTAAATATGTGTGTCGTTTTGCAATCAAACGATTGCAACCCAATTATGTAACCGGCTCCTTCGAGCCTATAAATAGGGCCCTCGCCCATATAAAATAAACAAGTTAAGTTTGAGTGTTTAAGCTTAAGATGAGCGTTGGACAATGTTGTGTAAAGCCATCTTGGACATGATTGGTAGTTTATGATGTGCAAGGGCTTGGTGAACATGTATGCAAGTTGGTAAGTGGTTTATATAGGTAAAAACTTCTCAATTTTATCAAGAATATTGTCACAATTGGAGTGACAGTCAATTTCTATATGTTTAGTATGTTCATGGAATGTAGGATTAAGAGCTAATTGAATAGGTGACTCATTGTCATAGAAAATGGCAGTTGGTTCATTTTGATAAACCCCAAAATTAGTAAGCAAATGATGTAGCCAAACAATTTGTGTTGTAGCAATAGTAAGAGCATGATACTCTGCTTCAGTTGAAGACCTTGACACAATTGTCTGTTTCTTTGATTTTTAAGGAACCATGGATTCTCCAATGAAAACACAAAAACTAGTCATGGATCAACGAGTGTCTAGACATCCTGCCCAATCTGATTCAGGAAAGGCACATATCTTCAAGGAGCTGTGTGAAGAGAGAAATAAAACTTGGCCAGGAGTTTAGCTTCAAATATTTGAGAATATGGGTTACAGCTTGCATACAAGGAACTCGTGGATTTGTGACAAATTGACTTAACCTATTAACAAAATAAGTTATATCAGGACATGTAATTGTCAAGTACATCAGTTGGCCTATTAAACGTCTATAGGAAGCAGGATCATGTAATGGAATACCCTCAAAATTTGAGGTCTTACAAGCCGGATCCATTGGGTATTGAATTGGTTTTGCTACCAAATTACCAATATCTTCAAGTAACTTCAAAGCATATTGTCTTTGGGAAATAAAAATCCCTTGCTCAAACCTTGCAATTTCTGAACCCAAAAATGTTGAAGTTTTCCCAAATTCTTCAATTTAAATTTGTTGCTTAAGCTCTCTTTAATGAGATTAATCTCAGACATAGATGCCCCAGTTAAGACTATGTCATCAACATAGACCAACAATGACACATAAGTCTTGCCAGCTCCTTAGAATAATTTGCTTTGGACTATATGAAGCCTTGAGAAATAAAAAAAAGGAGAATTTGGAGTATTATTAGCCGGAAGCATGTCTTAAGCCATACAATGATTTCTGTAATTTGCAGACCATAGGATTCTTGTCTGAATGAGTGAGTGAAGGAGTGTAACCTTGGGGTAAGTGCATATAAACCTCTTCTCCTAAATCTCCATTCAAGAATTGCATTATTCATAGTTAATTGAATAAGAGGCCATGACTTTTGAGTAGCTAAAGTTAATAAAATCTTGACATTAACCATTTTGCCCACCGGGAAAAAAGTGTCAAGAAAGTCAATACATTCTTGTTGATTGAATCCTTTAGCCACTAAGTGAGCCTTATACCTCTCAATAATGCAATCTGATTTCATTTTGCCTTTATAAACTCATTTGGAACTGAGTGGTTTTTGTAAGTGATTAAAATCCATTAAATGTGCGGACAAGGTTTGCAAACACAAATCTTGAATTAATCTTTTATATCACTGATTACTAGTAATTAAGATCTAGTCAGGTGTTGTCAAAGCAGTCAAGACTTGAAGTAAATAACTTCAACAAAGTATTCAAGAAGATTAAATAAACTAAAGTATGAACAAAGTAAAGAAATCAAGAACAAGAAGAATTTATGAGAGATGATTGAAAGAAATTTGAAGTGAGGTGAAGGATTCTATTAATGCACAAAAGAAGTGTGTAAGATGTTTTTTTAGTACAAGCTTGACACTCCTTTTATAGCCAAAAGAGTCAATACAAGACAAATACATAGGATAAAGAGAACTTGCATCAGTAAACAAAATCCTGATAAAGTGGATTTTCTTTGAATCTACGTTATACTAAAAAGGAAATACAACAAAAAGAACTTTCTTCATGTAAGGGAAAGTTCAAAGCATCTTGGAACTAGTCATCTCGGAGTCTTGGTCTTTGAATCTTCACTTCACGTTTGAAATAACATTCCATCTTGAAACGAGGAATAATCTCGGAGTCTTCACATCTTAGATAACCAATTGTCTCAGAATCATCATGTTCATCTCGGTTAAGAAGTGATTTCGGAATCACTTCTCCATTTCATAGTATTCACTCATAAATGCTTCATCTTGGAATGAGAGACCATCTTGGAATCGTTATGTCATCTCAAAATCTCTTCATATCTCGGACTATATAAGGAAAACTTTCATGTACTCCCCCCCTAAGTGTCCCTATCAATCTTACTACGATTCTTCTAATTCAAGGAGATTCCTTTGCCTTTGTCTTTGGCAGGAGGATTCAAAGGAATGGTAGATGAGATGACTTGTTGACCTATTGGAGTGATGAATAGTTCCAAGGGAGGAGAGATCAATGATTCCTCAGGTAGGTCGTCTGGTTTTGTAGTTGGAGGACTATCATCAACAGGTGTAATTTTCGGAGCAAGAATAGGAGGAGGAGTTGGATGAGAAGCTTGGAATGCATCATTAGCTATTTTCAGTTAAAATCTAGCCTTTTCTTTCATTTTTTGAATGAATCAACAAGATTTGATGGCCAACATACATAGGACCAGTTTTTTGTTTTATCTTCCGAGAGGAGTTGTTCGTTGATTGCTTGAAGTCCAAGAATCACATTCACCACCCGATTGTTTTCATCACTTTCTTCTTTACTTTCAACTTAGTTTCAACAAACATGTCTTCTGTTGCAAACTCTTTAACAAATTCGATTTCATCATCATCAGATGTTTCATCTCGGAGTGTGAATTCCAAGATAGGTTTCCATAATTCTTCCCTCTTGCATGAGAAGGCCATGCTTTGGATGCAAGCAATAAGTTGGGCGTGTGATCATCAAGTTTTTCAAACACCTATTGGAAGCTCATATTGATTTGCTTGGAGAGGGAATCTTATGCATCAACGGTGAAGCTTGGGCATTGAGGTGTCAAGGGTTTCTTCCATGACAAGGAGCATTGTATCGAATTTGTGATTAGGAGTATCGACAAAGTGTTGAGTAGAGCGAATGACTTTGATCAAAACTTCGTGCATGATCATATTAAAACCATCTTTTTGTTTGAACTCTTTCTCAATTTGTTTATCATGACGAACATGACTCTGCTTGATGAGTTCGTTTGTAGCAGAAATCATGTCATCATGAATTCTAAGCATTGTATCGGTAATGGAGATGTGATGATCAAGATTATCTTTGTAGCATTCCTCAACTTCTTCCAAGGTGCGACTCAAACAAAGAGAAATAAGTGATGGGTTTTGAGCATAACAACATTCCTATGTGTTCATGCAACCCTAATTGATTTGGATAGTTTTTCTCTAGTTATACATGCAAATAGAAGTTCCAAAGCAATAACACTAATACTAGCATACAATTTTCGAAATTAATATGAAAACTAGAGTTAGAATGTTACCTTGCTTGCTATCTCATAATAACAAGTATTCCACAGATGATCTTGAATCTTGAAAGATTTAAGGCATCACGTGTTGCACCTCTAATGGAATCACAAACACCAAAAGCAAAGGATGCATGAGAGAGGGGCAAAAAATCGGCTAGGGTTTCACCTTGGGAAGCAGTGGTCGATTTCATGAGGTCTAGGGGTCTTTAAATAGTCGTGGATGTTAGGGTTTCCATGGGAAAACCCTAATTCCTTGCTTAGGCTCCAAGCAACCCATGAACATCCCTTCTGGAAGGCCTTGGATGATTTCTATAGGGGCTTCCTATAGAAATCTGTCCACCCCATTCCAAGGGAGTCCAGTAGCCCGGTTTGCAACTATCAATGATTTGCAAAACCAATCCCTATACTTTTAATTAGTTCTTTTAATCCAAAAATTAACACCACATTAATTTCTGATTAAATACTAATTAAATAAAATTATTTCTAATTAATATATTATTCTTATAATATATTATTAAATCATTAAATAACCTCTCCCTCGAAAAGTCATTCTGTCAAGTTGCTATGTTAAAGGCAACCCAAAAGGACCATGCTACTATTAAATTAAGTACATACCAATTATAGTTATGGGCTTAGACACCTAATCCAACAGTCTCCCACTTGGATAAGTCTAATAACTAAAATTGCAAGTATCACTTCCGAATCTAATTAGCAATCGTAGCTTTCAAAAGCCACTATTGAACTCTGACATAGTCAATGACGCGTCCTTTAGATAAGGGATCATATAATCCTCCTTTGTAGCAACTGTCACTTTCCGAACAAGTCAAAGTCAAAAGAAAGTCAATGAAAGTCAAACTGGTCAACTCAACTAGTGCTAACATGTAGGGATTTCTTTATGTTTATCAGTGTATGACTCAAAATCTTAATGCAAAGTAACACTTGAAAGTTTCAAATGTTCAAAAAAAAAAAAAAAAGAAATTTTCTAAACCCTAATCAGTTTGAGGGAAATAACAACTCTAAAAGACACTATTATGTATCCTTTGGGGATGCATAACACTCAAAAAAGGATGTAACTAAGCCTACGACCTTCGATCTATGAAGGAAAACATTTATAAGGGCCTATGACAAAGTCTATTTCAATCTCCCCAAGTATGTGAAATCTCTCCTAGGCCTCTTGTCACAACTAGAAATTTCGATGCCTTGTAAACATTGAACAATGATAACAAATGTGAACCAACAATGTGAAAGCATGTAGGACGCTTATTCAATAATAATAGAATTTCAATCAAACACTTCATGCAAGCCCTACAAATAGTCAAAAAAGAATTGGAAACCTTTGAAATTCCGGTTTAAGTCCATTTTGGACTAGGATTTCCTTATTGGACCTATTGGACCAATGAGCTTCCAATTTAACTATCTTGAACCTAGAACTCTCAAATGGGTCCTAATTGGACCCATAAACATGAAACTTAATATTTTGGGCCTTATAAGCCTAAAATGAACTAGGCTAGCTTTAATGGGCCTTATTGGGTCCCAACAAATTTAGTTAGCCCTAATGAGTCATAAAAATTATACTTTGATTTATTTAGGCCAAGCAATCATCTAACTTAACCATAAAATGGGCTAAAACATACAAGGCCCAAATTTTCTCTTTTCCCCTCTCCATATTCGGCCCAACCCACAAAAGAAAGAGAGTTGACCTTTCCCATGCCACCTCACATTTATCCATAGGTTTTCCATGCATCAATCTCATGTTTTCATGCAAATCAACTCAAAGATCTCTCTTCTTTCTCTCCCTTTTTGCTCTCGGCCGAAATAAGACACACACACACACACTCACAAAATTCATCTCCACTCTCTCCAAATCCTCTCAAGAACACTTGCACTCATTCATCAAATTTTCGAGAATTTGAAGCTTTTCAAGGAAATTAACCCACAAAACTCATCATCTATGTGACAACCGTCAATTTCTGGTCAAGTCAAAGTCAACCGAAGTCAAGAAGTCAAACCGTTCGACTCATTTTTCCCGTGGGTACTAGAGTTTATGTTAGGTAAATACTAAACAACTCGCTATTCTAATGAGAGATCATAAATCAAAAAGTGCGAACATCTAGATCTCCTTAACCTAAAACTATGGTACGTGGCGAGCCAAACCAATAAAACAATGTTGCATACTCATCGGGAGTGTGTAAGATCCTTAAACAAGGCTTAACAGGGTTTACGGACCTTGCATGGTGAAGCCGAACACTCACAAATGCCACACACGAAACCTCTCTCAATCATATTCACTCTATCTCTCTCTATTTAGAATCTCTCCCAAATCTCTTTGTATGAGAAATCTCTCTAAGTATGTGAAATCTCTCTCAAATCTCTCTCTGTATGAGAAATCTCTCCAAAAATTTCAAATCTCTCCCAAATCTCTCTAAGTATGTGGAATCTCTCCCAAAACTCTCTTTGTATGAGAAATCTCTCCACGTATGTAAAATCTCTCCCAAATCTCTCTAAGTATGTGAAATCTCTCCCAAAACTCTCTTTGTATGAGAAATCTCTCCACGTATGTCAAATCTCTCCCAAATCTCTCTAAGTATGTGAAATCTCTCCCAAAACTCTCTTTGTATGAGAAACCTCTCCAAGAATGTCAAATCTCTCCCAAATCTCTCTAAGTATGTGAAATATCTCCCAAAACTATCTTTGTATGAGAAATCTCTCCACGTATGTCAAATCTCTCCCAAATCTCTCTAAGTATGTGAAATCTCTCCCAAAACTCTCTTTGTATGAGAAATCTCTCCACGTATGTCAAATCTCTCCCAAATCTCTCTAAGTATGTGAAATTTCTCCCAAAAATCTCTTTGTATGAGAAATCTCTCCAAGAATGTGAAATCTCTCCCAAATCTCTCTCAAAAGTTTCCGTAACTTTTTATAGTCTTTCGGGCCATCCCGACCCTTAACCGGGTCAAAAACGACTTAAAACGGGGTAAAAACGAGAAAATCGGACTTGAGGAGCCGAAACCCTTCTCAAGGAACCGAAACCTCTCAAGGAGCCGATACCCTAAGCAGCCGAGACTCAGTAGCCTCTCGGACCGAACCTGGGAAGAGAAGCCTCTCGGGCCGAAACAGAGAAGAGAAGCCTCTCGGGCCGAAACTGAGAAGAGAAGCCTCTCGGGCCGAAACTCGCGAAGACCGAGTCTCTCCTCTCGGTTCCTTCTTCTTCGCACTTTCACATCGTATGGAGATGTGAAAGTAGTCATTTTAAAGCTAAGAACTTGAACTACTTGCACCTTTTACAGTTTTGAAAACAAAAATGTTTAAGTTGCCCAAAACAGTCCGTGAATGGAGTTGAACTTTTCTGATGAAGGCTGTTAGAAAAGTTTAGTTATGTTCTTGGTGTTTTAACTTGTATTCCCCCCCCCCCCCCCCTAAAAACTTGAGAAAACATGAAAATGTAGGGGTATGAACTCACCTTGAGTGATTTTAGTGGATGACTGTTGGATTAGGGAAGTGTTCACGAATATTAGGCACCTCTCAAAATCCTGAGAGTTCCTCTCCTCTCTTGTGAACTGTAGAAGGAATTTGAAGTGTTCACAAATATTAGGCACCTCTCCTCTCTTCTTCGCACTCTCGGTCTCTCCTCTCTTCTCCTCTCGGTTCCTTCTTCTTCGCACTCTCGGTCTCTCGCTGGATGACTGTTAGAAATGTAGGGGTATGAACTCACCTTGTTATTTTATCATCATAAACTGAAACTTAGTCATTCATGATAAGATTATTTATTCATTTAGAACACGAATATTAAGCTATAATAAGCATAGTTAATGGATTCATAACACTAACGCAGTTTCATAAAAGAGTTCTTATATATTACAAACGTTTTGGATAAACTATAATAGGTATAGTTTATGATTCATCATATAACACACTCGTACAAAAAGGGTACATTCATACAAAAAGGTTTCACACTCACGCACACCACACGTAAACTTGTTAACCTAAATTGTGAGACAATCTCTTTCTGTACGTCCGAGTGCGGCATCTAATTCCTGGTAGTTATAATCAGAGTCTCCTGGAGGGAGAACATGATAGTTGTGTATAGATCTATATTGGGTTTGACACCCAACACCTTGCTGCTAGCTATAGTGGGACCTGCAGATCTACGGGTGACAAATGTCATTTCAGTTTCGCGACGCCTGAGAAACGTCGTGGCAAGTTCATTCAGTCACAGTATGATTATAGCGACTCACATATCATTTTCTATCAGTAAGAGAGGTTACTTATACATTTTGGTCTTCGGTTATAAGACTACATTTCACAGATTTTAAAGAAAATATCGGATTTTCTGGATACATATTCTAACGCTTTTACAAGGAAAACGGTTTACTTTTCTAACGAAATCTCTTATGAACTCACCAACCTTTGTGTTGACACTTTTTCAAAACTACTTGTATTCTCAGGAATTCAGTGAAACAGGAAATCAACAACATTTTGAGGATGGGACTATAATTCCTCAAGCAGTTCATTTTGTATCATAATTGTAACAGCCTGAAATCAAGGTATTCTTCTTTTGGCCCTGCATCTTGGTTAAGTTGTTAATTTAGGGTTTTCATGGTGAGCGAGTACGCTGGGCGTACAAGGTGTACGCTGCGCATACTCGCGCGCCTCATTTGAACGTGTTCACCCTCAGGTACGCTGGGTGTACCCAAGGTTACGCATGGCGTACCTTGCCCAGATCTAAAAACCCTAGTTCCTTTGGAGGGCTATAAAAGGAAT